GAGCTTCCGGTCGCCGGCCTCGCGGGCCCCGGGGTCCGTCCGCAGCGGAGACGCGCGGAGGAGTCGCCGCGGCGGCTCTCGCCCAGGTAGTCTGGTCCCCGGCCGCACTGCGGGCCGTCGCCGGCGGGGCTCCCGGCTGGCCATCACTTGCGCGTCTTGCGGGAGGCCCGGGTTCTCGGGCGGAAGTGAGCGCCTCGCCCCGACCTGGGTGGGACCTGGCCCCTGTCTGGCTTGCGAAGTAGAGACGCCCCACAGGTGCTGCCCAGAGATCGGGCGTAAGGGCTAGTCCGCATTAAGCACTGAATAAATGCTTAGTCTCTGCTTCGTAGATACTGAGATGTCACGCAACGTGCACTGGGTAAAGCATTAGCTGCCCACTCCCCTACGTGCGTCCGCTCCCTCGGCCACGGCAGCCGGGCAGCCCCGAGGTGGCCGAAGATCAGATCGTGGCCAGGACAAAGGGTCAAGCACAGGGCTCCCGGGACGGCCCTGGCGCCACACCAGGACCCTTAGCAAGCTGACACTTTGCAAACAAAAGGAGGGGTGATGGGGAAAGGAAATCGTAATGTGGGGCGCTCAGGGCCCAAAGGGTGACTTGATTAAAGTGAACGCAGCACACGGGTCCTCTGCCACGCTTCGCGTTTTTTGTGTCGTTGGTTGGCTCTTTTTCACTGATTTTTAAAAATTAACTCAGCCGATAACTAAGATTATTGTTGTTGGATGCCATTGAGTCAAGGAGGACTCGTAGTGACTAAGAACAGCCTGAACCCTGTCCTGGGCCGTCCTCACACTCCCTGACACACTAGAACCCACTGCTGCGGTCACTGTGTCAGTCCACCTGGTTGAGGGTCTTCCTCTCCTTCGCTGCCCCTCCACCTTTCCAAGCATGATGTCCCTCTCCAAGGAATAGCCTCTCCTAGCAACATGCCCACAGTATGAGATGGAGTTTCATCATCTTTGCCTCCTGGGAACACTGGCTGTATCTTCGACATACGCTTGCTCCTTTGCCTGTCCATGGGCTATTCAGTGCCCTTATCCAACGCCACAGCTCACAGGCGTCAGTTCTTTTGTCATCTTCGTTTATTCATCGTCTAGATCTCAGATGCATAGCAACTGATGGAATTAACTGGAGATTAGTGCTGCCAGAATAACAGATGTGCCCTGGAGGAAGTGCTCCCTAGAGGAATGGAGAGTGAAAGTTCATCTCAAACGAGTTAGTCATGTTGTCAGAAGGGGCTCGTCCTGGGGAAAAGACGTCTTGCTGGAAAGGGTCAGCTAAAGAAAGGAAGAGCCTCAATGCGGTGGGTTGACACAGTGACCATATACAGCAGGGGGCTTGAGCAGGACAGATGAAGAGGATGGTGCAGGGTTTAGGGCAAGCTTTCAGGGTTCACAGGGTTGCTGTGCACATTAATAGGCTTGGTAGCACCTAACAACAACTGCTTCGGAAATAAAGGAGACTGCTGGTGCAGTGTTTAAGCACTCTGCTCCTGACCGGAAAGGTGATCGTTCAAACCCACCAGCCTCCAAGGAAGAAAGATGTGGCAGTCTGCTTTCCCGGAGAGGTGCAGCCTGGGGAAGTGTGGGGGACAGGTCTGCGCTGCCTTTGTGTCCTCAGTTATCCAGTGGTAAAATCCTCTTGCAGTCCATGCAGAGTTCCTAGGTTCAATCCCAGGCTGTGCACTTACCACCCACCTCTCAGTGGACGCCAATGTGTTGCCCTTTCTGTGAGAAAGTGTCCAGGTTAAGACTTGCACTTGGAAGAAAGGCCTCGTGGTCTGCAGCTGCCATTCATGCCAGTGAAAACCTCCAGCTGGTTACAAGGGCTGACTCGACAGCCCCTCCGGTTAGGCACATTGATTTGCTCCCAGACTCCACCTGCTGCCAAGCCGCCCGCCTGGCTCCTGTAGCCGATGAGGTGGTGACCCTCTGTGTAGAGTCTTGACTAATCCTTGTCCTCAAAAACGGATCCAAACGCCCGAATCAGCGTCTTAACTAGCTCAGAATTTCAAGGTACTGAAACTTCCTTCCAGGGTCTCAGCAGCGTCAGGCCTGCAGACCCAAACCACCTCTGCCTCTTACCGTCATTCAGACCCTGCCTGACATCATACCCTGCAGTCTTTGCAGCACCCCCCCACACCCCCCCCCAGCATTTCCATTACTCCCCCTGCCCCCTCATCTCAGCCAGGGCACCATTTCCTGCCTTCCCATGCAGATGAGCCGCGAGGGAGCTGTTGACAGGGTCTGACTGGACCCGCTGCCACAGCAACTGTGGGTGCTCACGCCCCGTGCTTGGAGACGGGTTGGGGGTCAGGGAGACGTCCCAGAGCCACCCAGCCCTCCTGGCGCATAACCTGAGCTTGGGTGGTTTGTTTCATCCCCTAGCCTTTTGTGTTTTTTTTTTGGTTTTTTTTCCTATATTTTATTAATTTTCATAAACATTTACAGAGATTTTGGGTTTCCATTCATTCATTGTTGCACTATTCTCTCTACCCTCCTCCCAGTTTGTTCTTGTCCAAATGCCACAGCGCTTGTCAAAGCCAGTTCTGATTAATCTTCTTTGTCAGTGTGTCCTTTGCCATTCCCTATCACTCCTCTCTGAGAGAGACTTCACCCTGAGTCATAAGGAAAAGGGGATGGCGTATTCTCTTAGCTACTTCCTGCTGAAAAGGGACGCTGTGGGTTTCAGGGTGAAGATCTTCTCTCACTACTCTAAAGGGCCCCTTTGGCAGTAGGAAACACATAGACTATTATGGAGATTGATTTTGGAATTTAGATGCACTCTTATTGATTGTGCTTGGCCGTACATGTTCATATCCTTGAAGATGTATCATGGGGGGGTTGCAACCTAGAAGACACAAATTTGACTAACAAGTTATAAGTACATGAGTCAAAAATTATGGAAAAGTAAAAGATTCTTTCATTGTTTTACAAACCCTCCCCCAGGTCCCCTCCACCATGTAGCCCTCGCTCTAGACTCCTGTGATGACAGAAATACCCAGTTACATCTCTCTTTTAAACCGTTTTCTCCCTCCTCTGTTTCAGTGCAGTATACATTATTGAACCCATCTTACTCAGTCTCTCCCCAACCCCAAGGACAGTCCCATTCTACAACAGTGGCATCATGTAATATTTGTCCTTTTGTGACTGGGATATTTCACTCAGCATAATGTTCTCCAGAGTCAACCATTTTGAATAATATTGCATGAGTTCCTTGTTTTTTAATGCAGCATAGTATTCCATTGTGCGAATATACCACAGCTTCTCTAGCCATTCGTTTGTTGATGGGCACTTAGGTTGTTTCCAACTCCTTGCTATTGTGAACAAAGCTGCAATAAACATGGGCGTGCATATATCTGCTTGGATGTCAGCTATGGTCTCTTCAGGGTATATTCCCAGTAGTGGAATTGCTGGGCTGTTGCAGAACGAGGGTAAAGTATTTTTATAATTATTAATAATGAGACAGACTACCAGGAATGATATAGAACAGAGAGTGAAAAACAGGGGGCCAACAGTTCCCATGACTGAAGGCCCCAAGCCATGCTTCTCTGAGTATTTATTTAGAATCATAAGGAAGGTAAAGAAAGTAAAATCATAAGGAAGTACAAAACAAAAACATGGGATAATGGTGAAGTCTTTTACAGATAAGGCCAAGTTTCTCTTTATGCTAATGTCAGGAGGGAGGGATTCAGTTGATACAAAGTAAGAACAATGTTGACTCTTAGTGAACACCTTAGTGCCAATTTAAAGTTCTTTTTAAAACAGCTTTGTTTCTTAGCACTTAAGAAAGTCTGACCTTTTGGATTTTACAGGTAGTCAATAGAGGGTATAACTTTTCTCTTTATATCTACTCTGAGAACTAAGTTGCATTTTCTCTTTTATCTGCTTCTAAACTTCTAGTTCCATCTATCTATGCAGCTGTGAAAGACTGCTTGTCTCTTTATTGTTGGCATTCTGGACTACCAAAAATAAAGAAAAACTAGCCATCTTTCAAATGCAGTCTATTTTTAAAAAGTTTTTACTAATTCACAGATTTTTATCCATATTAAAATTTTTTCAGCTGTAGCTTTTAAATTTATTTATCAATCTTTATAACTTATTCTTTGCTTACTTCATCTTCCAGATCAAGATTTTTCTCTTAAGTTAGCTTCATTCTCTTACTTTTCATATTTCACTGAAATTATCAAATTGTATGAGCTCCAAGTACTATTATTACATTAAACCTAATAAGGCAGCAAGCAATAATAACAAACTTAAACAAACAAAACGATCAACACAAACAGTTACTATTTTTATCATCAAAGTCCATACTGGCTAAAATTCAATAGGAATTTGTTCTTTATATGCTATTCGTAAATCTCTTACGAATTCGGGCGCCAGAATGTTGCAGACCGAGGGTAAAATATTTTTATAATTATTAATGAGACAGACTACCAGGAATGATACAGAACAGAGAGTGTGACAAACATTCTGGTGCCTGAACAGGGACAAGGTGGTGGTTTTTCTTTGGATAAGGTGGTGGTTTCTTTTTCTTTCTCTTTTTTTGAGCAGACACCAGGAACCGAAAGGGAATTCGCTCAGGGTAAGTGAAACTTTCGGGAAAATTAAAAACAGGGTCATGAGACAATCTTCACTCCTTGGAAGTTAAGGACAGAATTAGAAAAAATTTCATGAGGATTCTTCTCACCCCTTAAAGGGCAAATTTAAGGGAAGAAAAATATTTCATGGGGACTATACCCCACCCTCCGAAAATGTATTAAAAATTCAGAGGTAGAATTGATAAGAAAGAGTCATGGGGGCCGTCCCATCCTCTGAAGCTCAATATATTTCTCTCGTAAAGAATTACTTAAGAGCTCAGGGGTAAAAATAAGAGAAAACTCATTTTTGCAGTTGTTTCAGTATGTATAGTGACATTACGGGTTAAAGCCAGTAGCTAGAGCGAAGTCAAATTTTAAAACATGGCGGCCCGCAACGCCCGGCACTGTTGGTGGCCTTATCAAGTAGCATCAGCTGAAGAGATGTGTTTAGCAGAGGCTGGACTGGCACAGGGAAATGCCATGGCACAGGAGGACTGTGTGGAGGGCCCCATGGTGACCACATCTGTGGGTGACCTCATGTGAGGAGGTGGGCTGGCCCTATGGTACCTGTGTCTGTGGACAGGCGTGTCATGGTCATTATATCTGTGGGAGAAGGGCTCACGCTGGGGTTTCACCCTGGGGACTGTGGGAAGAGAACTGAGTCATCTGCAGAGATAATCCAGCCTCTCAGTCCTTTTTTCAATTGGATTATTTATCTTGTTGTGGTACTCGAGCTTTATAATTTTATAAATTCTAGATATAAGACCCTAATCTAACATGTCATTACCAAATTTTTTCCCCCCAGTCTGTGCCTTCCCTTTTTACCTTATGGAGAAGTTTTTGGATATGCATAGGGATTTGATTCTTACAAGGTCCCATTCATCTATTTTAAATTCTCCTGGTTGCAGATAGCCTTTTAGTCCTTAACTGCTTCGTAAAGGGCACGTGGAGGCCTCCCTTCCACAAAGCCGACGTGTCGCTGCAGAGGGCACCACCGGCCTGTGTGAATCAGTGTCTCAGCTCCCTTGGGAGGCAAATACTCGGGACCACTGCTGCCACCCGAGGCCGAGAAAACACCCCATGTGTGGATGTGGGAGCTGGTTGGTGGTGTCCTGTGCTGTCCACTCTGAACCGACACATAGCTGACCCTCCAGTGGGTTCCCAGAGGCTACCACCAGCACAGGAGGAGGTTGCTGGTGGATTTGAATTGTATGCTTTGGAGTTTGCAGTGCGGCTTCTTACCACAAGGCCACCAGAGCTCCTTGTGGGGCACAGGGTCTGGGGTGTCAGGCCTTGATTTCTCTTAAAGAGCCTAGGAAGTGCATGCTCTTGGGAAGACAGTCAAAGGGGACTCACACAGCCTGGCTCTCCCATGGCCCTTCCTAACTGGGATCCTAGAGGTTACCCCACTCCTTTCCCCGATGTTTGATGCACCCTCAAAGAGAGTGACGGTGCCAGGGGTCCGGATGCCCTTCCTGGTGACACTGCACACACTGTGTCACCGGTACCTCCCCATGAGTCTCTGGGGATTCGAGGGACAGAGGGCTTGTCTCCCCCAGATCACAGCAGGGACAGGGGCAGAGCCTGAGGCTGGTGCACCTCAGCCTGGAAGCTGGAGGACATAAGAGGCTTCCCTGGGCACAGGACAGAGTGGATGAGTCCTCACAGCCCCTCGGCAGCTCCTCCGGCCACAGCCACGAGCCCCAGGAATCCTGCTCCCCAGCAGAGCTGAGGCGTCAGGGCTGGGTACCCCACTCAGCCTTGTGCACTTCCTTTCAGGCCCCCCCATCTACCAGGCCACGACCTCACCATGTCCGGGCTCCAGACCCCAGAGCGGGTGCTGGACACACAGGAGGACGAGGACGCTGGTGACGGGCTGCAGTCCTCTCACCGCATGCTGAGCTTCAGCGATGCACTGCTGTCCATCATCGCCACTGTCATGGTCAGTGTGGGGCCTGCTGCCTCCCCTGCTGCTCCCCCTGCTGCCCACCCCCTGCTGTCCCTGCACCTCTCCTGGCTGCGCTCTGCCTGCTGAGACAGCCCCGCTCGGAGCCTGGCCTCCTGGCACTCCTAGCCCCTCGAGCAGCTCATGGGGCAGCCCTGCATTGACCACCCTGGGCAGCATGGGTGTCAGTGGTCCGTACAAACCCCAGAGTCGCTTCCTCTCTCTTGTCTTGCAGATCCTGCCCGTGACCCACACGAAAATCTACTCAGAAGAGGTACTTAGGGATGCTGTCCTCTGTGTGGCCCCTGGTGGCACGGGCCCAGGGATTTTCCGGGGTTGGTCTCTGAGCTGGTCCCGTGTAGGGGACCCAGAGCGCTTTGGGTTAGACAAACCCCGTGGGTCCCACACTTCAGAGGCACCAGGCGTGAGGGGAGTACCCTCTCGGGCACAGACCTCATCCAGGAGACAGGACGAGAGGGCCAGTGTGTCTTCCCTCATGCCGTCACCAGCTCTACCCTGCCCTGCTGCTGTATGCCAGCCCTGGGCGGCCTTATAGGGTACAGGGCAGCCTGTAAAGCGGTGATGTCGTTAGTGTCCAAGCCACACTGACTGCAGGAGGGGTCATGGCCAGGTGAAAGGAGCAGGATAACCTGGGGACGGCCAAGCCGACTCCCACGGACTCCATAAAGGAGAACCGTCTCCGTCAGCAGCAGCCACAGTAGCAAGCAAACAGCTGCACGGTCAGACGCCCGTACACCCTGCACCGGCCTCTGCTGCTCACTGGCTCCCATGGTTGTTGCAAACCGACTCACAGACTTGACTCCCCTCACGGTTGTGGGATTTCCTAAAGAAATAGGGTGGAGAGTGGAGGAGGCAAAGTGTACACACAGTGAAATCCAGGTATTCAGCCTGAATGAGTAATAGTCCCAACCCAGGTCGATGGTAAAACGTGACTCTTCAATTAGTTCAGACAGCTGTGCAGTCAGCCAGTGGCAGTCCACCTCCACTGACCCGTTGCAGTGGCCGTACCGAACTCCAGACCATACTCGGGATTATAGGGAAGTTATGTGGAAGCAAGAGTGGCATCCACTTCCTAAACAACATGCCTCTGGAAACTCTATGAATGTTGTTAAATGTTGACAGTTCTAGAAAGGCTTCCAGCCTTTTGTTCGTAGGGTCGCTATGAGTCGTACTCAACTGGACGGCAGTCAACAAGGGAAGCTGTACCTGGGCACGTGGCCAGGAGAGACCAGTCCTTGGAGAAAGACATCATGCTTGGAAGGGTGGACGGACAGCACAGGAGAGGGAGACCCCAGAGGAGATGAACTGATACAGTGACTGGACAGTGGGGGTTGGTGTGTCGGAATTAGTGAGACTGGCTCAGGACAGGGCAGGGTTCAGAGCTGCTGTACACAGGGTCGCTGTGGGTCGCAGGCAATTCGATGGCACATAACAAGGGAAGTTAACAGATTACATTTCGTGTTGAAAACCAGACTTGGTTCCTCAGTTAGGATATCTGCTGGGTGTGCTCACAGGCCCTTTGACCTGCGACCCCGTGACTTCTGTGTTACAGAGCTCTCTTAGCCCCCCACTTGTGGCGCAGTGCCCCCCCATCTTCCAGCAGGCTGGGCAAAGCCCCCCAGCTCTGGCTTTGCAGGTAGCAGTCCCAGGGGAGCTCTGTCTCACGTCAGTCTCTCTGCCACTGGTCTCCCTCCTTTGGGCCTCGGCTTGACTCTAGCAGGAAGCTAGGGTCCAGATGATGCCCGTTGGACTCTTGCTGGAAGTGCGATTCCAGTCTTCTGCCTCTAAACCTGCTCAAGCCTGGCCTGGCCGGCCGGCACCGCCAACCAGTCCCTGCATTTGTAAACAGCACGCATGGTTTGGATGCTCTCACCCGGAGTGCTGTTCACTTCGTTCACGACCTCAGCATAGACCCAGCCACCAGAAGTCAGAGCCGATGGGTGGGAAGCCGTCCTGAGCTTCTGCACCGCAGGCGTGTCCTGCACAGACTCACCTACACAGACTCTGCCGCTCACCCCATGCACACAGTCTCTTGACCAATCCCCTGCAAGGTGCATACTGATCACAGGGCAGGCGCAGCCGAGGAGCACACACAGCGGGTCAGACCATGACCTCAATTTCTGCCGGTGCTCACCCAGGAGACGGCAGAACCAGGGCAAGGTGGCAACCCTGCAGGGGAGAAAATAGACCAGGCCCCAAGCCCTCCCGGCGATAGTTCCGGGAGAGGGGTCACCCTCCAGGATGAGGAAAGCTGGCCAGCTCTGTCCCGCAGACCTCGGGACATGCTCAGATCAGAGCCCATGTGGAGTCTGTGGTCTGAAGGTATGGCTCCTGAAAGGTCACCTCAGGAACCAGGGATGAAGGCTCAGGGGCAGCCAGGCAGCTCATGCTCGGCCAGTCCTACGTGGGCACAGTGTGGAGTGGGCAAGATGGCACACCCCATGGGCCCGGGGGTGCAGGACTTCTGTGCCTGCATGGTCTGTTTAATGGGAGTAAGTAGGGCTCGTAAGGCCTCACATGTCCCTCCAGCATCTTTGGAACTTGTCTGTCCTGGAGTTAGGGCGCGTCTTAGACCCAGAGGTGATTTCAGGAGTTAGCCGTGCATGTGTGTGCATTTGAGTGCATGTGTGTGAGTGCATATGTGTGTGCATGTCTGGGCTGTGTGTGTGATCACAAATGAGCGTGCACATGTACTCGTGAAAGTGTGTGTGTGTGTGTGTGTGTGTGTGTGTGCAGTCACAGGGCAGGTGGGGATCGTGGAGTCTCCTAGCCCTGAGTTCAGTGTCACCTTCCTGCCATCGAGTACTGCATGACACTGAGGTGCAAAGACATGGACAGAGCCAGGCCAACAGCCACGAAATTCAAGGTCTTCAACACTTAGGCTCCTCGCTCCGATCTGGAGCGTCCCTGGGCATTATGTCAGCTGTGTTGGCTTTGGTGCTTTCCATCAGAGGAAGGCAGGAGACCACAGCCCTCATGAGTTCCATGATGTCACTGGAGCTGGGCATAATGACGGCCTCCCCCATGTTATCATCATCTAAACGTGTGTGTGTGTGTGTCGGGTCACAGAGAAGGCAGCTGCAGCCCGCCCAGCCAGGCCCTGTCTCCAGCTCACCTGAGAGTCGTCTTAGACCTGCCTCTGCCAGGTCCCCAGGGAGCGTGTATGAAACGTGGTCACTCGGAGCCAGTCTCTTGCTGATAGAGTGTGAGAGGGAGACCTTGTACACAGGGGAGCCCCTTCCACGGGGATGGGAACCAGCCTGAGTGGGCTCAGGATGCCGGCAAGGCCAGGACCCTGCCCCCTTCAGGCGCCCCTGCTTTTGGGGTGCAAGACCCCCCCCCCCAGAGTGATGGTCTCTTTCATTCAACAGTTTGACACAAGCATACGGAAACTTCTAGCAACCAAAATCTCTGTTTACTTGATGACATTCCTACTCGTGACTGTGGCATGGACAGCACACATCAGGTACGCTGAACTGGGGCACCCAGCATGGAGGCCTGACCTCCTGGAGGGTCCCTGTGCCGTGTGACCCTGCAGGTGGCCTTGTCTTTCTGGCCAGGCGCTGGGAAATGACAGAGCCCGGGAGGGAGGGCCTGGACCAGACCGCAGCCCCAACTGCATGATAATCAATAACCATACACATCTTTTTAAATTGTGATTTTAATGAAAGTTTACGGAAAAGTTACATTTTCATTCATTGATTGTTGCCCATATGTTTCCTCACTCCTCCCCCCTCCCCAGTTAACTTTATTTAAAATATTCATTCATTGTGCACTATTTTCTCCCTCCCTTCCTCCCCTCCAGTCCACTTTGCTGTGTAGCTCTTATTCTGCACTGTTGTCATACGTACAGTGCCTGATCATATATTCCTTTCAAACAGTTCTTTCCTTCATTTGTTCCAATGCAGTGTTTATTATCTATCCACTCTGTTCGTAGTTTCCCCCAACCCCTCATGTCAGGCCCACTTTATAATAGTGGTGTTATGCCGTATTTTTCCTTTTGTCACTGAGATATTTTACTCAACATAATGTCCTCCAGGGTCACCCATATTGTGTAATGTTTTATGAGTTTGTTTTTTCAGTGTTGCGTGATACTCTATTGTGTGGACGTACCCTAGTTTTTCTATCCATTTGTTTGTTACGGGCATGTAGATTACTTCCATCTCTGCTATTGTGAATAATGCAGCAATAAAAATGGGTTTGCGGGGAGCTCTGGTGGCCTAGTGGCAAGGAGCTGCAACTACAATCCCAGAGGCACACGGTTCGAATCCACCAGATGCTCTGCCGGGGAAGGAGGGACAATCTCCTCCTGTACCAGTCAGATCTGATTTGACGGTACACGCACACAAAAATTAAAAAAAAATGGGTTTGCATATATCTGTTTGGGTGACAGCTCTGATCTCTTTAGGGTATATTCCCAGTAGTAGAATTGCTGGGTCAAATGATAATTCTATTTCCAACTCTTTGAGAAAGCTCCAGATCACTTTTCCATAGTGGTAGCAACATTTTTCACTCCCACCAGCAGTGACTAAGGGTTCCAGTCTCTTTACTACCTTGCCAGCATTTGTTGTTTGTGGCTCAGTTGCACTTTGCTGGTTGATAGATAAGCATGCACCTCAGTTCGTGCTCGTTGCTTCTAACCCGAGTCTTGATTATGAGATGCTGGACCAGGAGCATGTTAACAGCACTTCTTTCCAATGATTTAATTGAGGTGCTGCCTCTTCTGGACATTTCTTGCCGTTTCCTCATTTGGGAACACAGCTTCATTAAATCATGCTTCAACCAGGAAACACTGGACAACCTGTGTGTTTTCTCTTACTAGGTCTCTTTTTTGTTGATCACATGGCTTTCCTGTTTTGTTCTTTCCCCCTCTTATTAAATTGTGCAGATTATTCCAAGTGGTTGGGAAAATCGACGACACGCTTGCCTTGCTCAACCTGGTGAGTTTTCCTGTCACCTGGGGACGTGGTTTTCATGTTGGAGGAGGAGAGAAGGGTAGCAGGTTCCTCCCGTGGCCACTCTGCAGATCAGCTGAGCCAAGAGTCGGCCTTGCACCTCGGCTCCTTGGCCAGTACCTCTGTCCCTGCTCCAGGGCCTCCAGCTCAGGGCACAGGGTGCAGGGATGACAGAAGGCACCCTGGGCGTTGGGGCCTCACGGGATATTGGGGCACGTGGGTGCCAGGGATACACCTGTTTACCCGGAGACTCAGGTCTGCACCAAGCTTGCTGGAAGGATGTCTCTCTGCCCCATCTGGTAGGGTCTGGGGCGGGGGTGGACAATGGCACTGGACTGACGTCCGCTGTGGCTCTGTGGGGCCTGTGTGCAGTACACAGTACCTCAAGTGGCCTGCCTCCTTCCCTTCCAGGCCTGTATGATGACCATCACCTTCCTGCCATACACGGTGAGTAAGGCCGAGGACCTCCATGGCCCCCCACCACGGCCCACTGTCCTCCCCAGGTGCAGGACTCAGGGCTCGAGGTGCCCACTCTAGGGACTCAGGCCATTCCATGAAAGGGCGAGGCCCTGCCAGATGGAGAGCAGAGAGGGCCTGTCCAAACATGGGGTGGGGGGCTTCCAGGAGCTTCTGGGCAGATACCACCAGGCCGGGCAGAGCTGGGAGGGGTGCACGGAAAGGAGCTCAGTGTAGCCTGTCTGTCCCACACTCACCCCACCACCCCACCCCTGCCCAGGTCCCTGTACCATGGAAACAGTGCCTCCAATGGGGAGGGCAGGCCCACGGGTGCAGGGCATTGGGGGTGGGACGCTCAGTGATTGAGTGGCAGAAAGGTCTAAAGCATGCAGCGGAATAGACTCCTGAGGCGGGGTAGGGGCTCTGGTGGCCTAGCGGTAGGGAGCTGGACCACAGTCCCAGAGGCCCACGGTTTGAATCCAGCTGCTCTGCAGGAGAAGTGTAGACAGTCTTCTCCCATGTGAGTTACTGCCTCTGAAAACCCACTGGAGAGTCAGTTCCAACTGGGTTATACCCAGCGACTACAGGGAGGGGTGTAGACAGAGGCCTGGAGGCAGCACCCCCCATGCGCTGGCCCCAGCCTTGTCCCTCACCACACTCCCCTCCTTGCCCTGGCCCGCAGGGATCTTGAACGGTGACCCTAGGAGGGAAAGAACGAGAATGGGGGGGGGGGCGGGGGACAGGAGGCACAAAAAGCAGGAAGACAAGTCGAATTTCTGATCAAGTCTTCATTTTATTGAAAGCACTTGCGGCTTATATATAGGAGCACAATGGGGGAGTGGAAAGGAGAAGTAAGGTTACTTAGCAGGGCGTTCCCAGTAAACCGAAACCTATCCTCCCAGGGTGGGGTAAACCAAAACCTATCATCCCAGGGAGGGGAAACATGTCCAAACATGTTCTTAGAGAATTACACAATGGCTTCAGAGAATTACAAAATGGCTTAAGCTAGTTAGAACAAGCGGCTCCCAGCAGATCCTCCCTTCTTTCAATAATTATTTGAAGACTGCAAAAGCACAACAGGTTTACCTTTGGTGCTCTCCTGTTTGACCAGGTATGAAACTAGTGCCTGTCTTAGGTGTCCAGTGCCTGGACACCGCACCTACTGATCTTACCCATCATGGGCTAACCCAGCTGCTACAGTGGGGCACCTGTCTTAGGTTGAAACAGGGCCTGGTGTCTCTTACCCATCTCTGGCTGCTGGGTTTATTAGCCTGTACCATCAAGGATTTTCTTTATTGGCCATTTGCAGTCTTTGATAATGGACTTGTTTGGGACGGGAGGCTATGGATTCAGCCTGCTGCTTGATAAAGCGTGTAAGCCTCTGAATTGCCCAGGGGCCAAAAGAAATAAGCAAAAGAAAGCCTATTAAGGGCCCCAAAAAAGGGTGACTGGTCTTTGACCACGTCCCCTTAACTTTTAGGCCATAATTGATTGATTATACATTCTTCTGCTTTAAATTTTTTGTCACAATATGCACTAACCCAATTAAAAACTTAGCTGTGTGGACTTCTTGTGTTGAAGCTACAGCAGAAGTAGAGACAGCAGCAATCATAGGGATAAGAGAAACAATTTCTACAATAACAAGTCGTACAGCTCTCTTGGTTCTTAATGATAACTTATATAACTCTTTTAAAATTTGCAAGCCATTATTTTCATACCAAATATCATTTCACTTTACCAATGTCATAACAAGAGGAGGATTCTTTAAAATAACAACTGAATCATCCTTGGTAACAGAACTAATATAGTTAGAAATTTTATGGAAACAACTTATGTTAAATTATGGGTAATCACCAGTGATTACATAATTACCAGTTAATAAGATATATGGTTCAGGACTTGGGCACTTGTGACATTATCTCCCTTACATTTATCTTTTGGTATGTTGTTGTTGTTGTTATGTGCCGTCGAGTCGCTTGCGACTCATAGCGACTCTATGTACAACAGCCCTAAACTCTGCACTGTCTCTGACACTCCCATCCCAATTATCCCAGTCACTGAATCAATCCACCTCATAGAGGGCCTTCCTCTCCTGCGCTGTCCCTCCACCCTCCCAAGCATGATATCCCTCTCCAGGGACCTGTCCCTCCTCACAACATGTCCAAAGTATGTTAGACGAAGCCTCAGAACCTTTGCCTCCAAGGAGCCACCCGGTTTAACCCTTTCCAGGACAAATCTGTTTGTTTTCCTAGCAGTCCATGGTATTCTCAACACTCTTCTCCAGCACCACATAAAGAAAATATTTATAGATCCCATACTAGCAACTAATTTTCATAATTCAGTTTGAAAATTCTTCATATCAATAGTCCAGATTTCTTCTACTGATCCTTAGCTTCGACTTTATTTGATGGAGCCCAATCATACAAATTCAAATCTGCAGTACCAGTTTTCTCCAGCTGAGAGGGTGAAGTAAAGGTAGATCTGGAACATATTCAGCTTGAATCCTCATTGTCAGAGTCAGCAATATCACCATCTTTATTTCTGCCAGGCAAGACATCTTCTGCAGCACGTACCAAACTTTTCAGGAAGGCACTTTGCACTTTCAGAGTTCTGTGGAAAAACACATACATAGCCTCGACCCCATATTAACACAGGGTCGGGTCTTTTTCATTACTTTGTTAATGCATCCTTCTATTTAATTTTAGTATACCTTTACTGTGTGTTTCACCATTGTCTGTCTGCGGCAGACCTTTTATAGTCATCCAAAATAAAAAATTTAAAATAAATTTTAAGTGAGAAATATAATTATTTTATTTTAGGGGATATAGTATTCCAATAATTCCCCCTTTTTATTTAAATAATTTTTGATAATAGAGTACATTCTATAATACCTTGTTTTTTAGGATTGTAAGGAAACTCAGTTTTATGACAAATAGTAAAATATTTACAGACATTTTTAAAACTGCTGGTATAGCTAGGAGCATTATTAGTCTAGATTATTTTAGGAATTTCTAATAAACAATGTTTTATAACATATTTAGTTGCTTTTTCTGATAAACAAGATATTACCACAAAACCAGAACTGATAATAATAATAACATGAATAATCTGCAATTTTTCAAATTTGGGAATGTGAGCCGCATTTACTTATCAAATATAATTTGGCAATAATTCTCTAGGACTCACCTTAAAATGTGGAACAGGTAACAGAGACAAACATCTTACACATGATTTTACAATATACTTAACAATCTCTTCCAGAATATGAGACACCCCATGTAAATTTTCACTATAGCATAATGACTATGATGAAATTGTTTTGCTTTTGTTAAATTAAAATTTATTAAACTTTACTAGCCAATTTATTTTCTTACACTAAATGTCCTGGTAAAAAGAATGAGACTCAATACGACTGACAAAAATATGACCATCTCTTTGTCTTATCAACAATTGTATGTTGTTGTATGTTGTTATGTGCCGTTGAGTCACCTGCGACTCATAGCGACCCTATGTACAACAGCCCTAAACTCCACTCTGTCCTGTTCCAATCGCACTGTCTCTGACTCTCCCAACCCAATTACCCCAGTCACTGAATCAATCCACCTCATAGAGGGCCTTCCTCTCCTGCACTGTCCCTCCACCCTCTCAAGCATGATGT